GAACAAGCTGCCCCATAAAGGGCCGAAAAGCGATGGGAGTGACGGAGAGAAGATAAGAAAAAGGAAAGGAAGATGAGGTGAGTAAATGCATAGGGTGGCAGAACCTGAATTCCGGAACTTATATATCCATTTGCACATGCATGCATTGGGCGGCATGTATTCTGCAAAAATCTTTTCAGTTGACTCTTCCTGCCTTAATTTATATAGCTTCATTTCTAAGAAAAGGAAGGGTTTCTTCCACTTGCTGGACACCGTGATCCTTCCTCGAATTCATAACTTTGGATTATTCTTTTAGCATATTTATTTTCTTTCGATTGAGTTAAATTTCCGATGGAGAAATACACCTGGGGATGCAATCACATTTTGAAGAAAGGGGAAAAGTTGACAAAAGCGTATGATAGTTGAGAATGAGTTGGAATCCATGTGCATCCTTAGAAGGGAAGAAGAAACAAGAAAGCTCAACATTAAACACTGATTGTATCGTATTAAATCTGGGAATTTGTATATAATAACAAGGCAGGCTACGTGTTAATTTCCTTCACTTGCATGGAAATTAGTGCAAATGACTTTTGTGACTTTTATTAGAAGGTTCTTTTCCTGCGTACTCTGAATTGTATGATGGCATTTAAAATAAATAGTTGTTAATCGATTTATAAAAATTATCGGTGAAAAAATTATACAAATAAAAAAGTTTTTTTAATAATTTCTATCTAGAGGAAGAAATTTAGTTTTGTAAGGTGTGATTTTAAACACATTTTTATGTAATATATCTTTACCTTACATAGAAAAAAAAAGATGATAGTTCAATTAATAATCTAAAATTAATGCTGCTTTTAATATTAATTTTTATTCTAGTGATATTTTTTTTGAATAAATCTGAGATAAATACAAAGTAGTAAGATTCGTACCCTACATAAATAGTAAAAAAATGGTTGTCCCTTTTTCCCATATATATGGAATAAGGGAGAGGTAAGATAGTAGGCTACCCCCAAAAATCAGGTTGAGAGTAGTTTCCGTAAGAGATCTCCGAATTATGAAATGCCCTCCGTGAGACTCGATCCCACGACCTCAAGATTAAGAACCTTGTGCTCTACCAACTGAGCTGGATAGTCATTTCCTACATAAGTAGTACATATGTGATATTTAATTTTGAGATCTCAAAAAATAAAAGTAAATTCGTTGACCATTATGGTCATTTGGTTTGTGCCAATAACAAACCGTGAAAAATAGTAAAACTGGAAAGCGAGAACCGGTTCAAAGATTTTCACTTAGCCGTCCTCGTGTCATAGTTGGCGGTTTCTAGTGTACCCTATATAAATGGAATTAAACTCAAAGCGTTCCTTCAATTTTCTTCTGTCACTTTGAAAATCCATTTCAATCAGAATAATAATAATAAGAATATTTTTAAACATAATCTGAATTTATTTCATTAGGGATAGAGGTCTGAAACTCTGTTTTCAATCAAAAATAGAGAGGAGAAATTGGGAAAATGGCGACAGTGTCCCCATTGGCGAAATACAAGCTGGTATTCTTAGGCGATCAATCCGCAGGCAAAACCAGCATCATCACACGCTTCATGTACGATAAATTCGATACCACTTACCAGGTAAACTTTTCCATAATTCCTTTTAACATTTGACGTTGATTAATGTAGATTCAATGAACGTTTGAGTTTCGACTATTTCTCCAAGTCCTATATTTTCTTACGTCATTATGAATTTGATTTAGTTTCCGTATGTGGCTTATTGATCTCTCCGTTCAATATTGATTTCGAATCTTAATCATGATCTTGAGTCTTCACATCTTCTTTGCTTGTTTTGTTGATAATGAGCCTTACAAAATGCTTGATTCGTAATGTAGAAAAAAACTGTTCAATTTTCCATAAAATCCTAAAGCAGATCTCTTTTTTTTTCCTTCTTTAAATAATCAGTTTAGATTTCTTTTCTCTAAAATGACAATTTGTAGTTTAATGAACATCAACTTCACTTGTATCATATAGAGTGAAGAATGGAATTGAAGGGATGTTTATACGTGTATTTTCTTAAATAATTGCTATATAAATGCAGGCCACCATTGGAATTGATTTTTTATCAAAAACAATGTATCTTGAAGATCGAACGGTTCGTTTGCAGCTTTGGTAATATAGTTTCTTCCTTTATTACTTCTATATTCAACAATATAGATCTTGGATACCTATGTTCATCGTTTTCTTTGTTAGCCCTGGATCCATTGCTGTTGTATGTTCAATAAACAAGCAATCAAGCATATTTCTAGTGAAATTAAGGTTGATGACTTTTAGAAATCGAAACTAATTCATTCTGATGTGTACTTTATCCTCTTATAATAAACTATCAAAAGCCATCAATGCCGAAGTGTTGTTTTGCAATTGATTATAGCATGACATGCAAATTAATCTAATTTTCTTTGTTTGGATTTTTAACATACTCTTGAAATATTCAATTGTATTGAGTTTTTATCTTCAAATTTCACAGGGATACTGCTGGACAGGAGAGGTTTAGGAGTCTTATTCCAAGTTATATCAGAGATTCTTCTGTTGCAGTAATAGTCTATGATGTAGCCAGTGAGTATGAGTTTACCCGACCCTTTTTCTCCTTTTTGATTTCATCAGATAAAAAACTACCATGGAAAGCTTTTATGGTTTGGATTGAATGTTGTTAAGAGTTGAACTTTTTGTTTGTTTGTTTCGCATCGCATATACTCACATGAATAGATGATTATATTGGTGTATATGTTAACCACAGTTATCTGATTGCAGATAGGCAATCATTTCTTAATACTTCTAAGTGGGTTGAGGAGGTCCGTACGGAACGAGGCAGCGATGTTATTATTGTCCTTGTTGGTAACAAAACTGATCTAGTTGATAAAAGGTTAGTAATGATTTAGAAAATTGACTTTCTATATTGATTATTAATTTAGAAAGTTGGTAAAAGAACATATTTTTGAACTCTTAACTTACATCTCTTTTATTTTTTCCCTTACATTTTATTTTTAAAATAATTGTTTTTTATACATTAGAATGAAAAATAATATTTTATATTTTCTTCTCTTTTTTGCTATAAATTACATTTAAAATTTAATTTTCTTTTCTCCTATTTTCTTTTACTTGCATTTTTAATCAACCAAACACAATATGAATGTTATTTTCATTTATCGACTTTGGTGCTTAAACAGGCAGGTTTCTATAGAGGAAGGAGATAACAAAGCAAAGGATCTTGAAGTTATGTTTATAGAAACCAGTGCAAAAGCAGGATTCAATATCAAGGTAAGAATAGAAAAACAACATTGATTGCTAGACTGATGGTTATATTATAAAGTCAGTAAAACTAATTGAGAGAGAACACTGTTATTTAATTTTAGGATTGTAAACCGGAGTCTTAGTAAAAAAAAATCATATTGCTGTTCATTTATTTAAAAATGTGTGCTGATGTTAATTTATTTAAAAATATTTGTGTTTAGGTTAATTTGTTTAATGTTTATAAATATGTTCATAAATATTAAATGAATTAAGTATCACTTTTAGAAAAAAAAATATCAACCTTAGATAAATATAAACGAACTTGTTCATAAATAAATACAACCAAACACACCGTGTTATAAATCTTTCGTTAAACCTTACGTTTATTTACTGTCCTAATTAGTACTGATGTCCAAACTAATGATACATGTCCTGTTTTAGTTAGAAGTTGATGAACAATTAATCAAAAGTATGAGCGTCCTTGACCAAATATTTAGTCTCACGTAGAAACTCAGGCCGCGTTGATCACCTCGGCTACTCCCAATCAGACATCGACATCTTCCGTATACTCGCACCACTCCATTTTGGATACAAAATGTGTTTGACACGATGTTTTTAGGCAAGATGACTTTGTAGTAATCATATTTATTATTATAAATCTGAAATTGCAGCCTCTGTTCCGCAAGATCGCGGCTGCCTTACCGGGGATGGAAACTCTTTCTTCAACAAAACAAGAAGACATGGTTGATGTGAACTTGAAATCCACCGCCAATTCTTCCCAAACAGAGCAGCTAGGAGGTGGTTGTCCATGTTAAAGACGCATGTGTAGTGAAAAAGAAGCATTCAAGCATTGTTTTCTTTTTCAACCGCCAAATACAAGGTAAACAAAATTTTCCAGATCAAAATCCATTGTTTTGCTCTGCAAATTTAGTCCATTTTTATTAACTATTTCAGAAATCTAGTCTTTGATTTTGATAATAGTGTAGATTTTTTTTATATCTTTTAATTGTTATTTTCATCGTAGTCGGAACTTTTATTTCATAAAACTGTTTTGGATCATAGGAATCTAGTCTTTGATTTTGATCATAGTGTAGATTGTTTTTGATATCTTTTATTAACTATTTTTCCAGCATTTTATTTCTCTCAGAAAATTACTTTCTAGCCTTTTAGGATAGCCAGTTTCTCTGTTATTGAGATTTGATATTTTAGTTCTTTAATGCTCACGCTGATTCTTCAATTAAACTGTTTATATTCCATATGAAGATGAAAGTATTACTCTGAAAAATAACTCGCATTACCCAAATTTCGAATTGATTTTCATCGAACTCAAATTAAATAGCAATTAAGTTTATTTGGTACGAAATTTTATGCATTTAACTTAAAAAATCACAATTATTTGACCTAAAATTATTTCTTTGTTCCATTTAGTTTAAAATTATTTTTGATCATCATAGCATGGAAAAAATACTTTATTTCTAAATTGTACATATATTGAAATAATACCGCAAAAAAGGTAACTTGTTGTAACATTAAAATCAATTAATTGTTTGTTTTCCAAAATTAAAAATTAAAGGAATTGTTATTCAAGTTCAATCAAACCATCCAGGTCCTTTGTTGAACTTATTTTGTTCCTCCAGGGAAGTATCATCTAAAGAAGAATAGAACATTAACAAATAAATTGTAAACATGTTTACTTATTATTCGTTAATCAAAATAAATGATTTTAAATATGCTTTTAATTTCATTCATGAAGGTTTATGCTCGTGAATATACTCATTTTTTGTTTACATGATCGCCTAAAACATCATTAAAATTTACTTCAGATCAGGAGCATAACTCGTTTAATATTCGTGAAGCAGTTCATATACTTGTTTTGATTTCGATTCCCAAACATTGACAGTGATGAAAGATGCTGCATTGCTGAATCACAAGAGCATGAGTTTGAAGGAGATGAACACCAAGGCGCTACGCACGGTTGTACCCATCGATACTTTGTCTAACTCTCAGCGTCAGATAAATCAATATCAATGTCCCCACACTCGACCTGAATCGAAGAAGAAACAATAAGAGAAGAACAAAAAAAAAAGAATCATCCCTCTTATTTCCTATCCGTTTATTGCTCGATAGAGTTGAAAAATGAGAGAAATTATTTTGTTTTTACACATGAGAAGGAGAAATGATTATTCCACTCATTTCCTTTCTCCTCATTTTTCTTTACTACCATGCACATTCAAAACTTTTTCATTTTTCCACTCAAACAAGCAAAGTTGAAAGAGAATTCAAGTCTTTGACGATTGAGCTCGTCAGCCGACTCCTAACGTGTTCAGAATCTTCTAACAGATTAGAAAAGGAAAGAATGATATGAAAAAGAAAAAAAAAACAATAGTCTTGTAGAAAAAATAATAAAAATGTATACTTGCGGAAGTTATTAACATATGGGATAGAGTTAATGATATGTGCAACCTCCAAAGTAGACTAATGGACAAACAACTAACTCAGAATAGCTAAAGAAACTCTAAGATTTCCATGACTTGCACCAAAGCTTTCTATTTTCGCTAGCATTCTTTGTTATTAAATACTATTTAGTTGAAGTAAGCTTTACTACTTATTACTGAAATGTTGTCTTACTAAATGAAAAAAATATATAGTTTGAAAGTAAACTGTTGGTTTGCCAGGAATTGCAGAGCTTACAAGATTGAGAAAAGGAGAACTATTTTTCATGACTCTAAGATTTCCATGACTTGCACCAAAGCTTTCTATTTTCGCTAGCATTCTTTGTTATTAAATACTATTTAGTTGAAGTAAGCTTTACTACTTATTACTGAAATGTTGTCTTACTAAATGAAAAAAATATATAGTTTGAAAGTAAACTGTTGGTTTGCCAGGAATTGCAGAGCTTACAAGATTGAGAAAAGGAGAACTATTTTTCATGACTCTAAGATTTCCATGACTTGCACCAAAGCTTTCTATTTTCGCTAGCATTCTTTGTTATTAAATACTATTTAGTTGAAGTAAGCTTTACTACTTATTACTGAAATGTTGTCTCACTAAATGAAAAAAATATATAGTTTGAAAGTAAACTGTTGGTTTGCCAGGAATTGCAGAGCTTACAAGATTGAGAAAAGGAGAACTATTTTCCTCGAGTCAAATGACGCAGCTCGTTTATATCTCCTCCACCTGTTCATAGGTGCATCATGAACCCTCTCAGTCGATGATTTGTCTGTCAAAATAAAACTCGGTTTAAGTCGTATAACAAATTTCTGCATGGCCTGAGGTATAGCCTATGGAGTTAATAAGAAGCAAACGTGTAATATGCATAACCAAAAGGAATTAGATAGTTCCTAGATGTAATACATACAATACTGATATAGAACAGGTAGCAGATTATTGTGAAATGATTACAAAATTCACATAAAAAATCAAATTTACTGATTAGGAACAATAATTAAATAATTCAAATCTTTAATTGCTTCAATGCCCTTTGATGATCAAGTATCAATCAAGGACCTGTTCACTGGCTAATTGCAGTTCATTTATTCTAGATTTTCGGTTCACTGAAATTATACATGTCAAATGAAGTTCTTTTGTCAACTTAAATCTTCTCGAGGGTGAATGTTTAAGCCTGGAGCAGGAACCACAAGAAGATTAACACGTTTTTCAATACAACACTCATTCAATTTGTTAAAAGTGCAAGCTTAGTTACCAAACCACCACATAAATGTATGCACGAATCATTGTAAACCTTAAGCGCTTTATAACAGTTCGGATACTTGCAGAATATTCTATTTAGAAGAAGCTGCCAGACATGGCTTATTAAAAAGAATGCAGTCATGACTAAATCATGGATATTGTAAATAAATCCATAGCTTTGGGGGGAAATATGGAAAATATTGTTATATATAGGTAATAACATGCGCTTGCAGACATCTCGGTGTAAGTTACGTACAATTAAACCCATTAAAACTCAAAGCTGAGTTAAAACTCACCTACAGTTAAGCTTGCTTGTCTCTGCAATACCTTCTGCAAATGCTGTAATTCATTGAAATCTAACATTAAAGTCAAGAGTGAAGAAGAAACAATGTACCAGAATCTCAAGGAAGGATCAGCAACACTTTGATCATTAAAAAAACAAATTTGGTATGTCCGACACTGTATGTATGATCTACGTTTTACCGAATATGCCTGAATTATATAGAGAGCTGGATCAAACTTACTGTCACTATGCCTTCACTTTTTAAATTTCCAACAGTTTCATCACTGGATTTAAGTATGCCAGGAGTCTCTTTTTCGATGTTTACATCCAGAATGCAAGATGAACATCCATCTTCACCATCCACTTTCAAATCGATGCAGTTCTGGCAACTCAGCGGTGCGTCCAAACACATCTGGTTTTTCAATGAAAAAGGAACTTCTAGGAGGCTGAAAAAAGATAACTGTGGTGTACAATTTGGACTCCTGTTTCCTTCGTCAGGCAACAGAGAAATGCTATAGACATCCTGGCCCTGCATGAGGAATGGAAAATATATAGGCACATAGAAAAAATGTTGAGAAAAAACGGCTCAAGTGGTTTCCAAATTCTCATTTTAAAGTAATTTATTCATAGGAAAGATCATAAAAATTTGAACCAACTTTTAAACAAAGATAACTGGGATAACAAATATTGGTTAGAAAGCATAGAATCTAGACTACAAAAATAACAGCCAAAAGGGAAATTGTGAGACAAGAAAAAACCATTCAAACTTAAGCACAAAATCATAGGATACAACAGGAACTGAAGCACTTAAAACCTGGTCCATCATGAGTTCATCTCAATGGATTGGCATTTGTGTACTTCTTTATCCGATTTACTAAGAAAATACCCTTCTATTTCTATATTAATTATCAAAAGGTTAGATAGCGAAAACAGGTTTTAAGCTTGCTTTGGGAGATATAAATGTGCAACTAACATTTCTATCATGCTGGTGGGTTAGAGCAATTCTAGTACTATTAGATTACAACCTGAATTTGCATTAACAGCATTGCAAGCTGCTATAAGGAAGATACATGATTAAAGGAACTTACGTGTGAAGTGTTTAAGCTGCATTTTTCTCTTACTGGAAATGAAGTCTCCTCTATTAGAATAGGCAATACATCTGAAATTTCAAATAAAAGGAACTTATTAAACATGCTATTCAAAGTAAGGGCATTGATTAAACTTATGTTTCTTGAAGGACATTGATTAAACTTATGTTTCTTGGACTTGGGTGCTTGGATAAAGGTATGCCTCCTGCATGGGTATGTTCAACTTTTAAAAGCTTTTTCTTGTATTTAGAAGATCCTCGGAGGGCTCTATCCCCGTATCCATGTCCGGATATACATCGGACAAAAGTGTTTAATACAAATTTCTTCAAAAAAAAATGAAGAACTGGAGCAACATAAAACAATAATCTATCTAAGACGGATATCCTTACCAAAAGAACAATGTTGGTTTGTCCCATCAAATCCCGGCTTAATCAACTCAAAGCATGAAATGTCAACCGGCAAATCGGTGCTTCCATTCACCATCCCAGATAGGAATGGTTTTTCCTGCAATTAATCACGAGTTAAAACAAAGTATTGCAAAATAAACTTTGAAAGAGAACACGGATTATAGAACAAAGAAGGAACCATTTTCTTTTTCTCCTTTTTTCAGGTTCCGTTACTTACTAGTCACTAAAAGCAAAATTGAGAGTGAAGTCAAACGTGAGAGATATTATCTAGAAAAAAAATTCGAAGTCAACGCTGATTTTCTATCTACTTACAGATTCATATGGCTGACATTTTCAATTAAATCTAATGGAAAGGAAAATCAATTTTATTAATTTGTAGAAATAAAGAATTTATATTAAAAGATTTTTTTAATATTTTTGTGTGTGAAGAGAAGAAATCCACATAAAGAGAACCAGAAATAGGAAGTAAGCAATCCATACAAGAAAACAGAACTGAATGTATTCCTTACTCTACATTTTTTCAGCTACCTGACAGGAATTTTTTTATTTTTAGAAAAAAAATTGAAATAGCAACGGCATGTAGAGTTGATCATAAAAACCATGAAATTTCAGCTAATCATATTCTATAAAATGAAATGCAAATCCCTTATATTCCGAAGACAATTTGAAGTGTAAAATACAAAGTCCTTCGTTCCCCCCCCCCCTCACATTTTCTCAAGCGGCGAATCTAGTAAACACTCGTTGAAAAAAAGGAACTTGCTTGACACTAAATCCAAAATTAGAAGCTTTATTTCCAAAATCAGCTCGAATTTCATCACAGAAACAGAAAAGAATAAAATGCTACAAATTCAAAAGAAATGGAATTAAAAAAACCTCACCTCTTCGGTCGATTCAGCTGCCATTGCAGCAGCAGAAGATGAAAAGCAAAGAGGAGAGAAAATTAGTGTTGAGCAAATTTCAGAACATTTCAAAAAACACGTTTGATTTAAATTATAAGTTGCTCTGTATTCACAAAACTATAATTTTCACATGAAACTTTTAAAAGCGAAGAAAAAATATGAACGTTAAAAGTCTACATCGTATGAGAAGGGAGGCATAGATGCGCATTTGCCAGATAAAAGGCTTGTGATTACGACTTCGACGACAAATTCCCTCCCTACCTCTTTCCTTCTTATTTTGACGTAAATGCCCTTCTCTGTCCCCTGAACCTTTATATAAAAATAAAAAAAATTAGGAGACAGAAGGATGGGGTTGCACGTGACAGGGCAGGGAAGTGATGAAAATGAAAAATTGTATAACAAGTTGCAACAAAGAGACAAGCTTTAGGTGAAAAACAAAGAAAGGATGGCTGGATATTTGTCTACTCCGATTGGTGTTAAGCTCTGCACGTGAAGCTATAGAAGCCGAAGAAGACATGCAGGTTCGCTGTTATTTGATGCCACAGAGACAAAAGCTAATCATAAAGTGATTCACGGATCACATTTTACCAAATCAAACCACGGCCTGCTACCTTTCTTCAAATATTTCTTAGTTTGCTATGGTGGGAGACAAATTCAATTCTTTACCTAACCTATACTGCATTTTATTATTTAAAGAATTAAAATATAGCTTGCATTTTATTATTTTAAGGTGGGAGGCAAATTGTGCATGCATTTTTTTCTTTATATTATCCTATTTTTTCCTATCAATTATTTGAGCTCGCCTTTCTGATTTCATCATTATTTTTTCTTTCAATTATCATAATTTCTTAAAATTTTAATTTTATAAATAATAATAATTTTATGTTAATTTATAAGTATTATAATAATAGTAGTACCGATTAAACTCTTACTCTAACGCTAAAATTAAAATAAACAATGGAGCGGTGGGTTACTCTCGAAGTTGACATAGAATCGCATTTAATGACATGAAGCAAACATACTAAATCAACTGAGTTGAGAATTAACTTAAAATTATATTTTTATCAATCATTAATTAATATTGTATGATTGTTTATTTGTGTTTTTCTTCCAATTTCTTATAATTTTACCTCGATTAATCATGACGAATCTACATCGTATATTTAGTATTGATAAGTGAATCTCCTTGTAATAATTTTTTACATATACAATCTAAAACTCGAAACATGTTTAAACTAACGGTTGTTTATCTTTTAACTTTTAATTTAATATCTTTAATTTAATACTTTACATTTATTTAATTATAGTAGTTTAAGTTTTAATTATATTACTAGATCATTAATCATCACTAATTGGATGAAAAAATTATTTAATGTTTACATCATTTTGTATGATAGTAAAAAATAATAATTTTTATTCTAAATGATCATATTCCTTATCAAAATTAAGGGTTTTCTCAATTTTTAATTATTGTTATTCTCCGACATCTTTTAAGATCACCATAAATATTGATGGACCTATTTAATTGTTCTCTACCACTTTTCATTTTAAATTTTTTCAAAATCTCTTTATAACTAAAAAAAAATCCACCAGTTTTAGAAATTTACGAACTTTCTCGAATCTAAGGGGTTTGGAGTGTTTGTCCAAAAATTCTATCGATGAGAAATATTCTTTTGAGAAAATGAACACTATACCTCAAAATTAGCGTCATCAGATGATTGTAAAAAGATATTAGAATATTAGAACGTTGAACCTACAAATGAATTTTTATTACTTTTTTGAGTTTCATAAAAAATCAATTTGAAGAGAATAAAGAGGATTAAAATTTAAACATTTTATTATTGATTTTATTGTAAATGATGACGGATGATAAGCAATTGCTGACTGACAATAACAGTTAAAATAATTGACGATTGTCTACCTAAACTAAAATGATAGATAAATTAAAATGAAGCATATTAAAATTTAGTGACAAAATATAAACACATATTAAAGTATACGGAGAAGAAAACAATAATGTCATTATACCTTGAATGGTTTAACGACTTGACACTTACGTTGAAATTAAAATCACATCTTAATTCACTTAGTAGCAACTCCATCGAAATTCTAGAAACACAATTAGGTAGATTGTTGTGCCTCATGTCACAGACTTAATCTCTCAATAAGCCTCATGTGGCCTTAGCTCCTTTTCGCCCCTCGCGATAGCTAAGTTAGCCTCACTCAAACTCGTGCTAGTGTGGGAAAGGATTGGCAAGGAAACAAAGAAGAAAGGAAAAATTTTTGAAAGAAAGCTTACAACTCTTGGATGATTTACAAATGAGGATTCTACACCTATTTATAGCATCCCACCTCCTCAATGGACGGTGAAGATTGACTTGATCCTACGATAGGGAGAGATTCTCTAGAATTCTTCATAATTTCCTACCTAACATGGAAGACTCTAGAATGCTTCTAGAATATGTACAAGTCTTGAGTGTTCTAGAATAATCTACACTATTCTATCAACCTCATAGACCAAATGTGGCCCAACATAGCCAAAATAGCCCAAAGTGTGGGGAAAAAGCCCAAGTTTGTGACATCCTCCCCCACCTATTTCATCGTCGTCCCCGTCGCCTCGTACGCTTTGAGATGTTCTTCGAACTGCCACAAGTCTTCATCTAGTTCCCATGTTGCCTCGGACTCTGGTAGTCCTTTCCACTTGATTAAATACTCGGTACACGGCGGAACTCCTCTCTTGCGGACCGTCCTGCTTGTGAGCACCGTTTCAACCTCTTTGTCGTAAGACTTGGTTACTACGGGAGGTGCTCGATGTGAATACCCTCGGCTTGGGTCTTCCTTGTTGGCGTAATATGGCTTGAACATACTTACATGGAAGACCGGATGAATCTTAAGTGTACTTGGCAAGTCCAAGCGATAAGACACTTTACCCACCTTGGCAAGTACCTGGAACGGTCCCTCGTATCTCCGTATTAGTCCTTTGTGAACGCTTCAGAGAGCTTTGAATTGTTGTGGCAAAAGTTTCACAAGGACTAAGTCACCAACGGTGTACTCTCGATGTAGCATCTTTTTGTCCGCCCACTTCTTCATCTTCTTCCTCGCTTTCTCTAAACATGCGCGGGCAATGTCGACGTTCTCCTCCCATGACTTAGCCATCTTGGCGGCTCCGGGACTTTTACCCTCGTCAAGTGGCATTGTCAATGTGTGCGGTGTGAGCGGTTGTTGTCCGGTCGCAAGCTCGAACGGACTTCGGCCTGTGGCTTCACTCCGCTGCAGGTTATAAGAGAATTAGGCGACGTCTAGCAACTTTGCACAATCTCATTGGTTGGCACTCACAAAGTACCGCAAATAACACTCCAACAAAGCGTTCACCCGTTCAGTCTGCCCATCAGTTTGAGGGTGAAAGCTTGTGGAGAAATTTAACTCGGTGCCAAGGAGCTTGAATAATTTCGTCCATAGGCGTCTGGTGAATCGAGGGTCTCGATCGCTGATGATGCTCCTTGGTAAGCCCCAATGCTTCATGACGTTCTTGAAGAATGCTCGCGCGGCCTCCTCCGCAGTGCAATCCTTGGGGCATGGTATGAAAGTCCCATACTTGGAAAATCAGTCCACGACGACCATGATCGAACCGTATCCCTCGGACTTGGGTAATGCACTAATGAAATCCAAAGTGATCGAATCCCAAGGTCTTTGGGGAATTGGTAAAGGTTCGAGTAATCCTGTCGGCTGTCGGTTCTCCACTTTGTCTTATTGGCACACAAGACAAGTCTTCACGTAAAGCTCCACGTTATCCTTCATATGGGGCCAAAAGTATGTTGTCTCTAGCAATGCCATAGTGCGCTTTTGACCCGGATGACCAGCCCACTTGGTGTCGTGGCACTCTTTGATAAGATCTCGCCTTAAGTTGTCCCACTTTGGGACATATATTTGTCGTCCCTTGGTGTAGAGTAGATCGTCCTCTACCCAGAACCGTTGGGTTTTGCCATCGCTAGCCAGCTTTACTAATTCTCTCGTCATTGGATCTTGCTCAAGGCCCTTTCTTGATGCGCTCCAACACGGTTCCCTTGGCTAGAGGGATTGTGGCGAGCTCCGCCTTTCGACTTAAGGCATCGGCTACAATGTTGGCTTTGCCCGGCTTGTATTCCAATGTATAGTCGAACTCGGCTAGGAAGTCTTGCCACCTGACTTGTATTCCGATTCTAGCACCAATAGCTTAGCTGATATATACCGGTTGACTTTGAGCAGTAGAATTAATTCATTGCTAAAGGAGGACATCAAGGAATGGGACCAGATATTATAACTAAACTCAGAAGAAGATATTTTCCCAGGAAAAAAAAACAAAACAAAAAACAGCTGCTTCAGAATCTACTGAAAGAAAAGTTGCGTGTATGGCTCTCGCAGAAGGTGGAAAATGACCTATTAGGCTAGTATATTGGACCAGGGTGGCCAAGGTTTTATACATTTTGCAGGTATGATTGGGCCTTAAAACCCACTACAGTTGCTGGTGTGAGTGTCAATTTACGGTATGTAAATGGATGGACTGCACTTCATTGGGCAGCATCTTCTGGACTTGAAAGTAAATGTTAAATGTTCTTCATTTTTCTTTTTATTCAGGTTCATTGCATTTGCCGCTTTAGTTTACCAGCTTTTATAATTCTTGCTTTATATTAAGTCATCACATTCCTTTACAATCGTAGTTGTTGAACCCTAACTTTTAGTTTAGTTTAGTTTTTTTTTTTAATGAAAGGCTCATGCAAGAGGCCACCGGGTAAGGAAAAACTATAAGAAGGTAGTCTGGTCAGCAGGGATTGTGGAGAATGTGATGTTACGTTGATTCAAATCTGAAACACTCACCGAGGAGCCTACCATACCAGCACCCTTAAAGGAGGATGGCTATGATTTCCTGAAAATAAGGCAGGAAGCAAAACGAAGAAGGGTTACACAAGGCACTTGCCAGAGTAAGTCCATGGCCCAGAATCCTCAATATAGTAGGATGAAGACCGTCGTAACTGAGATCCAAGAGAAGGTAATTGAAATCTATGTTACCAACTTTCTTTTCCCCTTTTAAGTATTCATGTTCAACTCATATTGGTATAAGTATAGGATATAATCCTCTTAAGGATCCTCCACATATATGAAGATCTTTTCGGAAAAAAAGAAAAGAACTTGTATGTGTAGACACATTTTCAAATCCGATACTCATATTCAATAGCGAATAACATAGACTGAAGTGTTAGAGACGATTTATATTTTTCAAAGAAAACGAGTTAAAAACGTGCATGAAAATCATGTTTATTATTATGAGGAAGCCGAAGATGACTTGATTCTCTTTGCATCAACTTTGCCTTATTCTAAGAAATCGAGTCAAAAGCATGCATGGAAACCAAGTTTATTATTGTTATGATGATGATGACATTCTCTCTTTGCATTAACTTAGGCAGGTAGATTCTCAACTTTGCAGGAGAAGCAACAGATTTGGATGAAGACTTGATTGATCTCGAAAAACTATTAGACGATGATACTTATATGCACGCGGCAACCTTGAATGAACTGATCTTAATTCTCTTACAAATATTTTATTGCTAGAATTCATCTGTAACAGTCTAACCGATTCATCATCAAGTGATTTAACAGTTGTAAAGATTTTGACATATTTTGGCCCATTGCTATTTGCTACTACTTTGTTCTAGTTACTGTTCCACAAGCTAACTAATTTCACCCTTTGCGCTAGCAACATCTCCGATAGGAGGATCATGTTGTTTTTATAATGTTTGTTTCCAACTGCTCTGAAAAAAATGAAGAAAAAAAATGAAAAAAAAAAATTGATGACATAAATTACATTGAGAATTGAAAATCTATAAATCTAACTAAAAAGTTGGAAGCAATTCCAAAGGCATTGCTAATATCAAAACATTATCAACCATGACACATACAAGCTCTGATGTTCTCATCACAACATTTGTACACTGCTCTTTTCCCCCCTCTTATTGTGGAAAAACAGAAACAAAAGGGCATTGTGCTTCCACCATCCACTGTACATGAAGACAACCTAAGTATACATTATTTTCAAAACCCACATCATCTCACTGAGCTCTTCCACCGGTATTGGAAATCAAAGAAAAACGGTGGGAAAAATTATTAAGCATAGGCGGTTAGAGAAAACTGAAGTTTCGAGAGAATAGAATATATGTACTCATGGTAAAATCGAAACCCTCTTTTCTCAGTTGTTGTTTGCACCAAGGCTTTCATAAAATAAGATATACCCGTGATCTGTATTGCTTGAGTACTCCTGGGCTGACCCGAAAAATGTCTGAACTGCAGACTCGTCAATCATCTCCACATTTTCATCGTCAAAAAATAACCAGTGGTTATGGCTTTTCACCAGGCTAACGTAGTGCCCATGGTTAGGTCCACTTCCCACATGTACTACTACAGCGAATAGAGAATACTCTGAATCTGCGTCTTCTACAGTATTGCTCAGTTTCAGCTCAACTGGGAACACAACACAGTAGGAGAGCTTCTTGTACCGGCCAAGCTGCTCTATGTACTTGAACCGTTTCAAATGGATAACCAGGATGTGAGGAGGCTTCTTTATTTTCATTCTCTTCTGGGCCCCTTGCAAACTGCAAGTAAATTGACATCTGTAATAATTGCTATACGCATATTTTTCATTAAAATGACTAATATGCATCTTTGGAACCATTGGACTTTGCATCTATTAACTAACTACTTACGATAATGAAACAGTTAATTGCACCGTGCAAGTTTGATGTTCGAATCAGGGAAAATGTATGATCATGAGTTTAGTCTTCCGAACATCTCACTTAAATCCATGACCACAATTGACTTCTTTTACTAACAAAACCTCAATTTAACTTATTCGGTCTTGGCTGGCCAGTCTGCAAATCTCACACGCTATACTAATCAAGAGAAATATTGATCGTCATTGTAAACTACTTTTACAAACTGACTCCTAAAACTGTGAGAAGAAAACAGGCATTCAAAATAAGATACATCTACATGACATTAATAAATGGAAATTACCTGCAGCACTTGTCACAGAAAAACTTGTCTTCTGCATTCAATGTCTTGGTAGAACTAAAATTTTTCAAACAGCTAGTTATTGAGCTATTTTGTTCAATATCAAGGCTCAAATCCAAGAAAGCTTCGTCTCTCGCCATCACTGTCTCACATCGCAAGCATCTTGTCTCATTGGTAAGTATTCCCTGTCTCCAATTCCCCAATCAGATAATGACATTCTTTCTAAAATACATGAATGCAAAGACGAGGAAACCAACACACATACACAAAGAGGCTCTCAGATTGGAGGGAAATGGATGTGCTGATAGATAGTCAATAAATAAACTGAAAATGTAGAGCAGTCTTTGTCAACAAAGCATAGAATTCCTTTATAAAAATTGTCAACAAATCCATCATGAAGAAGATAAGAGGCAGTGACCATTTCATAGTTTGTAATTTGTGAATTATAAATGATATATCATAATTTTACATAAATCATATATAAAGTAAAAGGAAAGCAATAATGCAAGTGCAAATATTGATTGATGATGAGATTAGCTCGGATGTCAAGAAGCATTTCCATATAATGCTTATATTTAATTCACTTTCTCTGTCTAGTAGTGCTCTGATTAGATTATTATTTTTTACACATGTTCTTTCAAGACCTAATATATTGCTACAATTTAGGTCATTTCACTAACGTTTCAAGTTTCATAATATCTTAGTTATTTTAGATGTAACCTGAGAAAGAAAGTTTCAATTTTCATGTAAACTAAAAGAATTGATCAGAATAATATAATCAGCAAACTCACCTGAAAATTCTTGTGAACCCAGGTAACCAGAGGCTCTTTTTTAACACCATTTGCCTGAGGATTCTTTGACCCATTTGCAGTCTTTTCAGACGACGATGAAGTTTCTGCCTCATTTTTTGCAGCTTGAGCCTCTTTCTCCAGTATGTCAACAAGTTCATTTAGCAAAAAATTCAAGAACCCATGAGCATCCTACTCAAAAAAAAAAGGAGAGAGAAAAAAAAAAGACAAAATAGTTATTCTCTTTGGTGTATTAAGAATTGTTCATTAATGATGATAAAGAAAGAAAGTCAACTTTTTTGTGACATGTCGAGAAAAGGCTACAACATTAGACCAATCGGAAACCTTGAATCACATAGAAGATATCATCAACTTAGAGGTAGTTCTTCAGACAAATAAATAAAAAACATCCTACTACCTGGTGCATATAGCTGCGAAAAAGCTCATTTTGTTTCTTCAATCTCTGTACAAAACGCTTTGGAGCAACGACACCTGTCTTCTTCTTCTGTGAATTTATCTAAACATTAAGAGCAACCAGCAGTTGGTCCCATTACCAATCAAGTATAAGCCACATATGTTGCACAACTACAGGAGAGGGAGAGTTGGAGGAAAAATATACCATAGCAACTAATAACCTTTGTTAAAGACTGAAGACAATCCTCTTCCCCACTACAGCTAAAACTTAGGATTCTTAGGGGCCAAAGAGAAAACCTGAAATAAAAATTTTGCATGCATCTAAGCAATTGCCTAAAGGATAATACTTCCAATACTCAAGTATCAAACCAAACCATTTATAAGGAGTTTAAAAAAAGAAGCAGAGAAAAATCAAAGCAGTTACGAGAAAGGATAGTATGTGCAGAAAATAAATTGATTTATGTTAAAATAGATTTTAGAAAAAATGCATGCACATCAGTCCTTCTCATACAAAGCCGGGTCCTTGAGAAAATGTAATGAAGAACTTATAGTAATAAGCCATTTAATAGAAGTAATAATCTTTATTTCCGATCACATCTTGTTAAAAGTTTACATAAGGTCCATTTTTCATCAAATCAGTAAGATGATATACTGGGCTTCATACTTCTAACTAATTGCACATTGGCTCCTAGGATGTCTAATAATAAAACTAGGCATTGCAACTTAAGCACATTGTAACACCACTGGCTTACTATAAGACAAACTATCACTAGGAAGAAAAAGGAATATGCTCTAAAGAAATATGGGTTGCTCATCAAAGATAGAGTACAGCCCAAGAAAACTACAATTCTAGCCGAGTTATTACCAGTGTAAACAGATCTGCCAAGCAAGTCAGCAAGTTATCTTCAGCATCAGCACCATTTTTATGACTTGCATAATATTCTAGCAGCTGTTCACGAAATGGGACAAAAATAAAGTGCCTGAAAAAATTAGGAAGAAATGAGATATCAGGATTATCGAAGCTAAGAGGCTATTGTTGCTCAATATTTAAAAAAAACACTCGACTTTTAAACCCTTCCTAAATGACCATACATGGGATAATGATGTAAGTTGGAAAGCAATTAATAAAATAGATTAACAGCGTGTATATGGAGAAAAAGAAAAGCTCAAGGGTACTGAACAGTCCGCTAATGCATATATAGCACTTAACCAATACAGTTGTATACATTCAGAAATGACAGTTCAAGCTACTCAGATGTCGTGCAATCAAAGGCAGCCCAGCAATACCACTCGAAACTTTAAATGTAACAGTTTTCATACCATGCATAAAACTCATCTAACCAAATAAATTTCAAATATTTCACATTGCTCAACTTTATAAAAATCACCCAGCTTAAATGAACAAAGAAAGAAAATAACTATTAAATATAAGGTTGAACAATGAACTGTAAGTTACCTTATTAGTAATGATGAATTAGATGATCATTGATACTGTCCACAATCCATTCTAGACAACTATTTTCTCCTTTCCTAATATCAGTTGATATCTATCATGGTATCAACTATCAACTATCAACCATCTCAGTATGCATATCTAGAATACAAGCCTTCTAATGGCAATCTAAATTGTTAAAACCATGCCACAGCATGCAATTACCAGAAAATTCACTGCCATCGGTTCCCTTCAAAATTTTCCCAAATTTACTTCAGCAACCAAAAAGTACAAACCGTGAATATTTGCAACTAAAAAGAAATTGTTCGAAGCAAAAAATTCAAAATCAATCAAATTCAGAATATTATAATCAACTTAAAGGGGCAAAACATGATAAGTGGAATTAGATTCAAACTTGAATTGTTACTAAGAAGAAGAAAGGTATTAAAGAAAAATAAATGCAAAAAGCTGTTACAATAGCAAGTGTTGCCGAAGTTCTCAAGGCCAAAATATCGTTCGCCTTCAGGGAACTGATCACCCAATGCCTTCTCGAGTTTTGAACCCGCTGCGCCCATTTATAAAACTAAACTTTATCTACAACTCTAACTCAGATGTTCTCCCGATCGATTCAGCTCAGAGATTCTACCTCGCCATTCACGATTCCCTCTATCTCACCCTCTTCTTCCGTTTTGATTTGGATTAGTTTTAGGGTTTGTTTAGTTGAATTGTGTTCTCTTTTATTTGCGGTTTCCTATTTTCCGTTTGGGACAGTGAAAGTGAACCAAAGGAAAGGAAGTAAGGGTTCGTCTTTGTTTCGTTTTCCTTAGAGAAGGCTCTTGGGACGGACAGAACTAACGAAGGAAAATTTCGTATAGAATTGGTAAAATTATTATATCAGTCCCTTAATTGTATTTTAATTTTCATTAGAAATTAATAAATTGATGTATGTATATTACATAACATGAAAGGAGAATATGATTTAGATAGGTGGATTGTGACAATTAATCATATGAAATAAATAGAAGGGAGGGTAGGATATAGGCTTAGAAGGAGCAGAGATGTATATAGGACCTACCATGGAATGGTGATTAAAGATGTATTAGATTGTAAAGAACACTTTAAATTAATGATGTTTTGAGTTTGTTTCACATGTGATTGAATTTTTTTCAATTTCTCTACCTCGTTATATTATCATTTAAGGCATCAGATTATCACTTAAATTTAAATTGTATATTATTTATCTCCTTAAAGGTAGTTTTACTTATATTACGTTTTTAGGAGTTGAGTTCAGTGTTATTACAAGGATGATAATATTCTCATTGTCCTTGATAGCTGCTTGTTGCTTGCTAAACGAGAAAGAGAGAATGATGAGGGACACTAACAATTTATTATAAACAAAAATAGCAGTGATGTTAACGTGTTTAGGGTTGCTTATCGAGGGAGTCGATCGTGAGTTGGGTAGTGATCGACTCTTGCTCGTTAAAAATTTTTGCTGCTCGACTTGTTGCTCGTTAAAATTGTGCTCGACTCGTGCTTGTTAAAAAAAATTACTGCTCAACTCGACTCGATGCTTGTTAAGCTCGACTCGTTGCTCGTTAGACTCATTAAAAAAAATTACCTTATTTTTTTAACTAAAAATAAAATTTACTAATACTATATGAGGATATTAGGATTGAGTTTTTTTGCATTAAAATAATATTAATAGTTAATAACATTTTATTATTTATTAAAAAATAGATTAGTTAACTTATTGTTTTTATTGTTTATTAATAAATTAATAATTATTATTTAGATTTATTTTTTTGAATGAAATAATTTTGAAGTAATTACTAAAATATATTTTTAAAAATTAACGACCTGCTCGCGAACTTATCAAGTCGAGTTAGAATTTACTCGGCTCAGCTCGTTAAGGTCTTGAGTTAAGTTTGAGTTGAGCCAACTCGAGTCGAACATTTATCGAGTTTTGATCGAGTCGAGTTCGAGTTCAAACTGCTCAACTCGTTAAACACCCTTACGCGTTAATAATATCACATAAATATTTAAAAATAATTTAAAAATACCATATTAGTATCATTGTTAAATTTGAACGACATGTGATCAAAATTGAATCAAAACTTAATATTAAGTATGATTTTGGAAAAGGATAATAGTTGAGTGATCAAAACAAAAACTAAATATTAGGTGAATAACTAAATAAGTAGTTTACCCGTAATTTTTATTTAATTTAATTTTATAATAAATTATATATACTAAATAAAATAAAATTGAAGGAAAAAAATTAGAATACCAAATATTTTGGCAAAACTTTCGAGATAATGTTCTGAAATAAATTAATTCACGAGCTAATGTACTCCCAAGATTAATTGCTCAAATAGGATGAAATCCACAGTGTTGACCGTAGGTCGCCATATATTCCGGGCGACTTTGTAGGTCGCCATGCACTCCGGGCGACCTTGTAGGTCGCCATGCACTCCGGGCGACCTTGTAGGTCGCCATGCACTCCGGACGACTTACCCTTGCTCAAACAGAGAGAATGAACGTGTTGCATGGCATATACACGTCCCAACACATAGGTCGCCATACCCTCCGGGCGACCTACCCTCGCTCAGCTTCCCTCGTATTCTCTCACATAGCTCGCTCGATTGCCCTCGGATGCCCTCGCATAACTCGTTCGGATGGCCTCGGTCAGATGGCCTCGGATGCTCTCGGATGGCCTCGGTCGGATGGCCTCGGATGCCCAGCGTGTTGAGACGTGCATGGCACATACAATCTCTTGTAGCTCGCCGAAAAGACATGACGACCTAGTAGGTCGCCCGGAAGGCATGACGACCTATGGCCAACACTGTGAATTTCACCTTATTTAAGCAATTAATCTTGGGATTACTTTATCTCGTGAATTAATTTTTTCCTCAACTATATCTCAAAAGTTTTACCAAATATTTTAGTACTTAAATTCCATCGCTTCCTTGGTCTTAAGTGGCACTATTGCCGATTTAAATTTTGCTGCCAGAAAAGAAAAAAAAAATCAAGACCACAACCAAAAATCAAGCACCCCATGGAAGAAGAAGGGGCAGATCCAAATATCACAGCCAAAACCATAGGCACCGATGCCGGTTTACAGAAAAAACACCAAGTTATGCTCGACCGCCTCTCTAATCGCCACCAAACTCGTTTAGACAACTCACTAGCTCGCCGATCCGACTCAACCAACTCCTCTGAGTCCACCTCTTCTTTTCTCTCTCGCTTCTCCCATTCAAAGCAATCCATCGAGTCCCTACTCGCCGACTCCCGTCTCATTGCTCAATCCGAGCCATCTCGCCTCAAGTCTCATTTTACCGATATCTCCTCCTCCATCTCGGACCTCGAAAAACTCGTCGCCGAGAGCTCTTACTTCCTTCCTTCTTATGAAGTCCGCTCTTCTCTCAAAACCGTCTCCGATTTAAAGCAAAATCTCGATACTCTAAACTCCGAATTGACCCCAAAACGGAAATTCTCTTTCAAAAACAAAGCCACGGCTAAAAAGGAACACCCCAAAGAACCTGAACCCGTGAAACCCGACACCGTTTCGATATCCAATTTCAAAATCCCTGATTCCCCAGGGTTTAGAAATAAATCAAACGAAACCCTAGTGAAGAAATTCAAGGGAACGCAAGTTGGGGAATTTACGCTATCCGATCTGGATTCTTGCGAAGTAAGATTAACCGGCTGCTGCAATGCGGTTTTCATGAACAAATTGAAGAATTGCAAGGTTTATTTGGGTCCGGTAACTGGGTCGATTTTGATAGAGGATGTGGAAGGGTGTATTTTCGTATTGGCTTCGCATCAGATTAGGATTCATTTGGCGAAAAGGTGTGATTTTTATTTGAGAGTGAGGAGTAGGCCGATAATTGAGGACAGCAATGCTGTAAGATTCGCACCGTATTGTTTGGATTGTGAAGGGATCGAGATTGACTTGGAGAAGGCAGGGTTAAGTGAGGAGACGGGGAATTGGGAGAATGTGGATGATTTTAAGTGGCTGCGAGCTGTGCAGTCACCAAATTGGTGTGTTTTGCCCGAGACTGAGAGGGTTCGCAAGGTTCATGTTGCGGACTTTGAAAGCTGAATTGAAGGTAGTTAAAGATTGTTATCTATTTTGAATTATTAAAGCTTGTTATGTTTCTGTTTGAATTTATGTTTATCGCTCTTGTTTTAGAATGGAATTGGAAATGAAAGCGGCAAAGGAACATTTTTTTATCTTTTCTGTTGTTAATTACTAGCTTTTGTTTTATCTTTGATGAACTTAATAGCAAATGTTAGGAGAAAGTTACTCTATTCATGGCAGTCTTCTTGTTTCTTTACATGTGTGAATGCTCGAGTTTTAGTACTTGTATGATCAAACAATTCTGTATGGCATTTTGGAGGCCTGAAGAATCATTTATAGTTTATGTTTTTGCATTGAACCCTGATTAAAAAGCAATTATACGGGTTTATTGAACTTTAGCTGAATGGTTGGTTTGTTTGCCCCACTAGTTTTTCATAAATTTTGAACAATTTTCCTCACATTGTGCTATATAGATAGTGAAATTTGCCAATTTGAAGATATGAAGTAAATAATGGAGATTTGATGAGGCAATCATAAACATTATGATGGTGTTTGGGTGTGGTTGGATTGAGCTGAAAAATGTTGTCACTGCATTGGTTCTTTCTGTAGTTTGCTGGTGGAATTTTAAGCTTTGTTTTTGGAAAGGATTTCCAGTTTATTTAATAGGTTCCATTTTAAGTATCGGGCTTAGAATCTATCTCTTAGGCTTTACTTGCTTGAGTGGAAAAATGGGAGAATGGAATGAGGGAGGGGAAAAGTAGAAATAAAATAAATTGAGTCTGCTTGATAGGAAAGAAAACGAGAGAGATGGCCATTTTTCATCCTCACGTGCAAAAACAAATCACTCCATTTTAGAAGAAAAAGATAAGAGAAAATGGGAGAGAGATGTGAGTTATTTCAAAATAGGTATTTTCCAGAGCATAATTTTCTTTCCTCTCATTGTTCAACTCTACCAAGCAATGAATGGAAAGAAAATTTATTTTCTTTGAATTTTTCCATCCGTCCTATCAAGTACACCAGTGGAAAGAAAAAAAATATTTTTTCATCTTTCCACTTTTCTACCCCTTAAATTTTCCATCCTTCCGATTTTCTTTCCACTCTACCAACCAAAGCCTTAATCTTCGCCTGTGATTTCTATATTAATAAACAATGCATGGTTTGGTGTTAATGGTACTAGTAGTCACTGGTCACTGTAGGTCTAGGAAGTACCAGTAGTCACTCATTACAGGTCTAGGAAAGATCATATCATTGCTGGAGTTTTGGTGTTAATAAGAAATGTGATCTACAGAGCAGGTCTCTTGAGTTGTTCATGATAGACACTCCAAAGACAAAGGTAAGGAAAAAAGTAGTTTATGGTCGATATAGGTGTGTCTATGCTCTACTCATCTGTTGAAAGGGAAAAGAAAAATCTGCACATTTTATCCCCGTCTTCATTTTCTCTGTCTCATATCTATGCTCCTTTGCATTTCTGCCTCTAAAATTTCAGCTCAATTGCAAAGCTCATGTAATTGTGTTCTTTGTTTTTCTATATGATCCTTCACTTTGCCTCCGAGATTCTCAAAGCATTTCCAGGGCTTTGGCGCTTAGGCACAATGTGCTGCACTTTGCATCACAGCATTAGGCATGTGTTCACTTGATGAATGGTGATAACATACTATTGTTTATCAGATATGATATGTTATGCCAAAAATGAAAATGGTATTCCTCACTAAAGTACCCCGATTCATGTGCGAGTGTCGGAAATATTAATATCTATATCGTAGGTATGTTTGATATGATATGTTTGATATTTTTAAAGATGGTAGAACGAATCAAAGACATGTGGTAAAACTGAAGTTGTTGGGTAAGCATTTTAATGGTGCAGGTCGTGTAGATAGGAAAGTATGTTTTGCTTGGAATCTTGAATAGTTTGTTTTTTTTGTGATTAGCTTGACTGCAGGTTTTGGCTGTTTGTAGTTTTGTTGTCAGGTTTCCTGTCTTTGAAGTGCAATGCGTTATTCATCTATAAAAAAAATAATAATATAAAGAGTAAACTATTTGTATGGTAACTTAATTATTGTTTTTTATTTTAACTATCAATTTCAAAATTTTATCAATAAAATCACTTTAACTATTTAAATATGTCAATCAAGTCACCATCAGTTAATGTTTGACGAAAGGGGTGAAGTGAGTATGAAAATATAATATAATTACATATTTGTTTCTTAATTTTAATTTAATTAAATAAATTTAACATCTAATTAAATGATGACATATGTATATGATTGAAGAATATTTTCTTAATTAATTAATTAAATAAATAAATTTATGCTGACAGAGGAAATTAATTTGGGTTAAAATCAATTTGGAAATCCAAAGATGCAAACAAGGGGAAATTTGACATTTCCTAAATATATGTGACAAAATGTCTCATTCTAATTTGGCCTCTCACATTTATTTTATACTCTCAAGTCTCACCTCACTTGCCACCACCCGCTCTAATTATTTTATTCCCAAAATTCACCATCCGTCACCTTTTACGTTTTCCCCTCCCAGACTTTGTGACCACCAGACACACTATTCTATAAACCAAACCCACACTTTGGTTTTTACACAATTCTCTGATTAATAAAAATATATATATTTTTAATATATTAAACATTTAATTTGAACGTTTTAACCCTTTAATTCAGTGAAAAATTATAATTTAGTCTATCCTAAAATTTAATTATTGTATTTAAATTATTTAAAAAATAATATTTTAATTTTAACACTAAAGTTTTATAATTTTATCTTAATTTCTCTCATGCCAACTTACTTTCGCACTAAACTTTTTTTAGAAGTAATAATATGCCAAACATATATTAGTGTCGTGCATTAATCTTCCAATCCGAATAATAAATAATCAGGATTTGGTCCCAAAAATAGACAAAACCAAAGTAAAAGCTTAGAAATAACCAAACTCTGAAACCGGACATTTTTTTTGGTGATCAAAAGAAAAAGCTACAGTGGATTAAGCTTATGCTGTCAAAGTGCAGTCGGCAGCTTCCTGTTGGACTAATTCAGCTACTTCCCGTGGTGGAATGGAGAATACCTTATGAACCTCTCTTCTTCTTGCGGCAATCTTAGCTAGTTAATCTGCCACCTTATTTGCAGTCCGCTTATATGCCTCAAAATAATATTTCAATCTCGGTTAAACAACTCAATAACGCGGCCAAAAAGGGTAAAGATCGTGTCTCTCTTAGAGTTTTCCTTTAGCATTCGGACAACCTCTAAACTATCTACTTCCACTATGATTTGCCTTTCTCCTAGATTCCAAGCATGGGAAAGACCTTCATGGATACCCCATAACTCCGCTTCAACTATGGAACAAACTCCGATCACTTTAGAGAATCCAAACATCCAACCACCATTCGAGGATCGAATGGCACCCCCACATGACGCTAGTCCATTTTCTACGTTACGAGACCCATCCGTATTAACCTTACACCAATTATGAGGAGGCGGATGCCAAATATCAGACATAGTAGATGAACGATGAGAAAGCTGAATCTTTGACAAAGCCGAATCCATTGCACGGGTAGCCTCGAGGGTGAGGCGCCTACTCTTTTCTAGTACAGATTCATGCTCAAAATAATCCGGATCAAACAATCTTTTATTCCGATTCGTCCAGATCAACCAAATAATCGAGCCAAACAATAAGTCCCAATCACCCTCTTCATGTACATAATACCCCGGGGAAGCAATGTTAATTTGCATCCAATCTCTGAAATTTCTTGTTAAAAAATCCGCTAACTTCTCCGTTTTAATTAACGATGACCAAATAGCCATAGCCATATGACATTGACGAAAGAGATGATCCGATGTTTCGCCTGACTGACCTTAGATTCCACAGCTGTTGATTGTGGCCATATGTCATCTTACTTGTTCCGTATTAGTAAGTAGTCGATCATTCGCTAGTAACCATAAGAAAATTTTAATTCGTTGCAGTCCTCGATACTTTGATATCACCTCCCACACTTTATGTGAATCATCATTCAAAGATCCCCGCCTCAACTCGTAAGCTGATTTAACCGAGAATTATCTGTCAACATTCCATTTCCAACCCATAGTATCAGTTCGACAATTTTTCCGTGGGGGCATTGTTGCTGCCAGACGATGGATAATGTTATTCGGCAGTTTGTCAATGATGAGATCCCAACGCCACTGACCACTACTGTCGGCCATAGAAGAGACCGACTGCCTTGGGAGATTATCTCTATCTGCTAGATTAACAACACAATTCACCAAAGGTCCCACGTCACTAAGCCAATCACCCCTCCAAAAATCAACAGTACACCCATTACCAATATTCCAAACAAAGCATTGTCGTACCTTGTTCCAAACTTGAGATATACCCTTCCAAACTTGAGATATACCCTTCCAAACATGTGAACTTCTCGTGCGAATAATGGACTCGGGTATCAATTCCACCCACTTATATTTAGTGCGTAGCACTCTAGCCCACAATTGATCAGAATTAACCACCAATTTGTAAGCTAGTTTCATGAGAAAAGCCTCATTTTGAACGTTCAATTTCTTCATACCCATGCCACCCTTAACTGTTGGTTTGCAAATGTTCTCCCAATGAACGAGATGAACTCCACCTCTAGTCTCAGTATGTCCCTAAATAAAACCTCGAATTAGCCTTTCTATCTCGTCACATGTCCCTTTCGGAAGCTTCGTTGTTTGCATTGAGTAAGAAGGAATTGCCGATAACACTGTTTTTTCCAAGGTGATTCTTCCAGCCAAGGACAGAGTTTTAGCCTTCCACCCTGAGAGCTTATCACGAACTCTCGAAACAATATAACTGTACGAAGATTTCGTAATTCGAGAATGTAAAAGAGGGACTCCAAGATACTTACCCAAATTTTGAACTTCTTGAAAGCCAAAAGATGCACTAATAGAATTTTTCAAGCCCGAATCCACATTCGTTGAGTAATAAACAGTAGTTTTCTGGATATTGATTTTTTGTCTCGAAAAAATTACAGAATAGCTCCAATATTCCCCGTATTACATTACATTACTCAATAGAAGCCTCAGCAAAGAGAACCAAGTCATCTACGAAGAATAGATGGGAGAGAGCAGGCCCGTTACGACATAAACGAATAGGTTTCCACATTCCATTATTCATCGCTC